AGAGGTTAGGAGAGGCCTGGGCTGGGGTAAACCTCACTGCCCCCAGCACTTGCGGCAGGCTGGCCTCTGTGCGCCCCCTGACCTGTGCTCAGAGGCTCAGCGTGACAAGCCACCTGCACTGGGGCCCTGTCTGCTGTCTGGACTGAATGGGATTAAACAGGAGGATGATATGAAAGCCCTGGCCCCAGAGGGTGCTTCCTCAGTCCTGCGACTTGCAGGGCAGTGCGGAGGGTGCAGGAGGGTCGCCGATAGTGCAGGGCCCTGCAGGGCTTCCCTCAGCCACAGGAAGTGCTCCGATGGGTAAGGCTCCAGGCCACCTGATGCCAAGCACTGATCTGTGTCAGTGCATTCCTGTTGCCAGGCCACATGGAAAACAAAGTCCAAGCTTTGCACCCCAGTGCAGAAAGGTGGTTTGATCATCTTCCTGCTCAGGTTTCATGGGGACAATAAAGAGTCACAGTGAGCCACTCCCTGCCTTCCCCGTGTGGATGGAGAAATGGCTTCTTTTCTGAGCCGGATGACAGAGCCCCAGGCCCAGAACCCACTGGGGACATGGATAGAGCTGTCTCTTCAAGGCCTGGTCCTCTGATGCCTCCCACTTCATAATGCCTTTTCGCATGCCTCCATGATGAGCCCGCAGGGCAGACCCCTTCACCACAGCACTGCCCACGGAATCCCCCAAGTGGCTCTGGCACTGGGCCCGGATCCCTCATTCTGGGCTTCTGAGTGCAGGCACCGTTCTTCCAACGGATGCTTATTAACTGAGAAGAAGAGGGATCAGAGGTTGGAGGTCTCTTTTTGCCCTGACATCTCAGAATGGCCCCCTTGAGGAGGGAAAACTTGAACAGTTTCTGCTACTGGCTAAACCCAGGCAACAAGGACCCCATTTGACACTGAGCAATGGTACTGCCTGACAAGTAAGCTGAGGGCAGTGGGTGGGCAACCCACCTCTTGGCCAGCAGCTTGTTCATTTCTTCCATGAGGCCTCCTCCTCCACCCCCACTGCTCGCCCGGTTGGGGTCTGTCTTTGAGGTCCCGCTGGGACTAGAGCCTCCAGACGCATCTTCTGGCTAAAGGAAAAGGAGGCGCTGTTTTAGATTCTGGTGTTCGTGGTGGGACAGCAGTGGCACTGATCTGAGGGGACGAAAGGCGTGTGTGTGCGTGCGTGCGTGCGTGCGTGCGTGCGTGCGTGCGTGCGTGCGTGAACTAAAATGGCAGTGGGAAAAGAGGCCCGGGGGGTCACTGAGTCCAGTTTCCTCAATTTACAGGCCAGAAAACCAGAACCCAAAGGGATGAGGACTAGCCCCGGGCCGACAGTTAGCAGACACTCTCCAGGCCTGAGGCTTAGAGTCGGCATCCTTTCCAAGACCAGCCATGGTGGGGAGGGGGGCAGTCCTTTGGGGAAGGAAACAAGTTCAAGCTCAAGGTCAGAGGTGCTCTTCCCAGAAGAGCCACATTCACAGCTCACTCCTGATGCCCTGCTTCCCAGGACATGACTGGAGGGCTGGAGAAGGAAATGCACCAATGGAATTGGTTTCCAGGATACAACCTGACAGGGTGGCGAGAACAAGGGACTCGGACTTGCAGCAGGAGACCCTGGCTTGAGGCCAAACCTTGCAATTGTCAACCATAGAACTAGTTGCCTAACCTCTGTTTCCTCATTTAAAGGGGAAAGTACTGTTGCCTGCTGGGGAAGGGATCTGAGGCTCAGCAGTGACCTGTATACCTTAAAGCAGCTCATGGTCTACACCAAGCTGCCCCATTTGCTGACAATCTGCAGAGATGAGATGGGGCCCCATGAGTTTCTGCAGATGGGGTGAAGGGCCTGACCCCTGACAGAAGCCACCCTCCATGCCCACTCCCGCCTTGGTCCCATAGCGCTTACCCGCTGGACTCTCCGCAGCTTGGCCCCAGCCAGGGCGGCGGCCAGTCCAGACACGGAGCTCTCTTCGTGGCTGGCCCCCTGTGCCCCTCCTGCTGGCAGCGGGGGTGGGGGTGGGACAGGAGGTGGGGGTGGAGGTGGAGGCCCGCTGCACGAGAGGGGCACACTGGCTGCAGATGAGGGGTGCCCCGGTGGGAGAATGGGCCCTGGAACACAACAGTGGGCTTGTCAGACCCAGGCTCCCCCCGCCCCACCGTGGCCTGGCTGTGCTCTGGGGTCCCTGGACAAGGGCAGAGGGTAGCTGCTCCCTGGGGGGATGAGGGCAGCCCTTCCCTGCAGCCGACCGTGGCCGCTCCAGGTCCTCCCTACTGCTGGCCTCCTCAGCACCGGGGTCGCTGGACCCACGAGCCACACACGGGCTGCTTGAGCTCAGCTGTCTTTCCCTCGCTCCCCTCAGCTTCTCCAGTGGAGAGGAAGCTCTCTGAGGCACAAACTGTGCCCTTTCTTCTTTTCTGCTCCTTCAAGTACCCATCACCATCTGAGACCTTGGCAGACGCTGATCCCTGAGATGCAATTATAACTGAACTTTAGGGACTGTGGCAGGTAACCACGGGCCACCTGGTCACCAGGTCACATGTCAGAGAGCAATACTGAATTCCTGTGAAGGGTAACTCAGCTCTTGGAGGAGAGTCCACTGGCCACCATCCATTTCTCTAGCCACCTTCCGTCTAGCAGTGACAGAGCCCCCAGTCTGGGCCAGACACGGCCAGGTGCTGGACCATGCCGGACCGTGATGAGGACAAACAGCCACTGCTCTCGGCTTATGGCGCTCACTGCCAAGCGGGAAACACTCAACCAGTCACACAGTGAATGCAAAATGGTAATGGTTTCAAGGTGACAAAGGCTACCAAGAACAGGTACATAGTGTCAGAGAGGCTGACTGGCCAGAAGTCCATGGAGGACTTCCTTAGTGAAATAACACCCAAGCTGGGGTG